GATTTAAACACTTTACAGCTCAGATAACACACTTTTTTTTTCGTACCGAATAATTAAGTGCTTTAATAAAAATATGAGCTTCGCATTGCTGCTTTTAAACTTATAGGGCCCTATGAAAATAATTTTATTTTTTGCCAAATTATGTTTTTTTCTGTTTTAATTTTTCTGGATTTTTGTTTTCCATTTAAATTTTTCTAGATTCAGTTTTATTGGTAAAATTAAAATGTAGTCATAAAAAAAGCACGTTAATTGAATAAACTAATTAACTGAAACCATGAAACTGCTACAATTTAACAACTAATTATTAAAAGTTGAACAAAAATTACATTTTCAGGGCCCTATAATAAAATTCTGTTTTTTTCCCCCCATTTTAATTTTCTAGATTTTTTTTGGTTGGTTTAATTAAAAAAATGTTATTGTCCCGAAATTATGTGTTTTCCGTTTTGATCTTTCTGGATTCTGTTTTAATGGTTTAATTCAATTCTAATAATCAAAAATCATGTCTAATAAATTGAATTCATAAAAGTTTAACAATTTAACAATTTATTAACATTTTTGCGTTTTCTGTTTTAATTGTTTTGGATTTATGCTTTAATACAAATTGTAATTTTGGCAATCAAATGAAGGCATTAAACAATTTAAAAACAAAAGTCGATTGAATTAATATTTTAAAATGTCATCAAATTAATATGCAACAATCGCAGAAATCTTAGGACGCTACTTTTAGACTTCCATTGTGCATCACTGCAACCATATATATATATATATTTTTTTTTATATATATTTTCTGATGTAGACTTAACTAATATTGAACCTGGAAGTTTTTTATTTTAACGTCTGTCCAACGTTATCTGTCAGTGAAAATGTGTCACTCACCTTTATCTCAACCTTTGACTCAGACACCAGAGTTCGGGCGCTGTGATTGGTCGATGCGGGCAGCCAGAGGTCAGCTGGTGGGGTTGGCGTAATGCTGACGATGAGCATTTAGTACAAGCCATCGCTAAAGCCTGCGTCACCGATCCGGCTGCAAACGCTGCGCAGGCTAACGGCTCCTTCCTTCACCATCACAACAGCGGTGCGCTCAGTGACTCTGATCCTCACACGGCCAATGGGAGCGCAGAGGCGGAGCCAAAGACCACGCCCCCTCAGAAGCTGTTAATAATGGATGCGCGCTCGTATGCTGCTGCAGTAGCCAATCGGGCGAAAGGAGGCGGCTGTGAGTGTCCAGGTAATGCTGCAGAGCTTATGTTTTCAATTAAATGCTAGTAGAATAAAACATTTCATCCATGAAACGCCCTCTGTGTTTCCGGCAGAGTATTACCCCGACTGTGAGGTGATGTTCATGGGAATGGCCAACATCCACTCCATCCGGAAGAGCTTCCAGAGTTTGCGGACGCTCTGCGCTCAAGTGCCGGATCCGGTCAAGTGAGTCGACCTGGAAACCACAGCAGCAAACTGCTTAAAGCTGCTAGTTATTTACTGAATGCAGGTTTGGTGACAGAGACAGTTTTGGTTTTATTTAGTAATGCACCGATTTTGAAATTCTGGTAAATCAGTAAACCAATAAATATTGTTATGCTGATAACTAATTAATGTCTGATATTGTGAAGCTATACTGTGTCATATAAATACAATTTTATATATAACATCTTATATAATTAATGTATTATGTGTATATAAATAATTTATATTTAAATTGATATAATTTATGTAGTCATTATATTTGATATGATATTATTAATACTAATATATTATAAATATTTTATGAATTTTTAATTGTAAATATTTTATATAAAACTGAATAATATAATTTCAGGTATTTATAGATACATAAAATATATATGTATTATTATTAATTTATTTATATATATATATATATATATATAACTGTTTTATAC